CAGCCCCTGCCATGGCCGGATCCGGCGCGTGGAAGCGCCTCAAATCGCTGCTGAGGAAGGATGATGCGCCTCTGTTTTTAAATGACACCAGCGCCTATGACTTCTCGGACGAGGCCGGGGATGAGGGGCTTTCTCGGTTTAACAAACTTCGAGTTGTGGTAGCCGATGATGGTTCTGAAACCCCGGAAAGGCCTGTTAACGGGGCGCACCCGGCCCTCCAGGCGGACGACGATTCCCTGCTGGACCAGGATTTACCTTTGACCAACAGTCAGCTGAGTCTGAAGGTGGACCCCTGTGACAACTGCAGCAAACGGAGAGAGCTGCTGAAGCAGAGAAAGGTGAAAACCAGACTGACCATTGCTGCCCTTCTGTACTTGCTTTTCATGATTGGAGAACTTGTAGGTGAGTTGTGTTGCCAACTCACTTGCCATTTCCATTTGTCAAGTTTTGGTTACACGGGATTTGAGGTTTAAACTTTCTTTTCGGGAAGCTTGTTCTTTATCAAGATACTGATCTCTTGTGATGTGAAAAGTCCACACAATTCCAAAGTGCAGATCAATCTAAGTACCACATAAATTTGTTTATCTTCATTGTATATAATGTAACTTCCTCTTAAAAAAAAAAAAAAAAAGATTGTGATAAAACACCAGGTTAATTTTTGCAACGTTTAAAATAGTAAATGATTCTAAAGTTACTGAGAATCACAAAATTGTACAGTCTGAAGGGACCTTACCGAGCACCTGCTCCACCTTCTTTTTCTCGTAGGGAATGGGAGGGCCCGGACAGGTTAAATAAGTTGTGAGGAAATTCACGCTGGTTCATGGAAGAGTCACACCTACAGTCCCAGTCTCTTGATTTTTTTTTCCTCTACCTTTGACTTACGTGGTCTCTTTATACTATTTCCTATTTGCACAATTAAATACTACCAACTAACCTGAAAGTTTTATTATAAGTAGGATCTGCAAGGAACCAGAAAATGGCTCCCCCAGGGTCTGTGAACTTGGTTTTCTTTTTTAATTATTTAAGTAATACATTCTTTGTTTAGAGATTATTTTCACAGTCACTTAGTGTAACTGCAAACTTGTCTTAGTGACCGTTTACAAAGTGACATTAAAGCAGGGAGACCCTTCTCTCATGTTGTCTCTTAATGATGAACCATGACGAGAACAGAGGTGACAGTCCAGATTTAAGGTGCTGGTTGGAGGTTAAGTGTAGGGAAATTACATATATTTCCTACCTCATTTCATACCATTCCTCCCCAGTGCTCGCTTCGGCTAAGCTGGCCACCTTTTCCCCCACAACTCACAAAGCTCTTTCTTGCCCTTAAGGCCTTCACACTGGCTGGTCCCCCTATCTCAGTGGCTTTCAAATTTTTTGACATCACTAGAGTAAGAAATACAATTAACATTGTGACTCATGTAGGTGTACATCATACATATATATGTGTGTACACATACACATGTTGAAATATATGTATAACTGAAACAAAAGTGTTATTTCATGTGATGTTTTCTAATATTTTTCCACTTGTGGTTCCACCCCACGTAATCAATTTCATGGTCCACAAATAGAGCAGGGTCTGCAGTTTGAAAAACACTGCTTTATATGGATTGCCTCTTCCCAAATCTTCTCTTGGCAGGTTTCTTGTTTTTCGTGTATTATCTCAAAAGATACTGCTGAGAGACCTTTGTAACTAAAGTAAACCTTCCTTCTCCCCTGTTCCCTCCTCAACTTGAAAAGCCCTCAACATCTGAAATTATATTTACTGTATATTTTCTTGTTTAATATTTTGCCTTTCTCCACTGAATTCCCAGCACCTAGAACAATGATTGGCACAGAATAGACACTGATTAATTTTTTGTTGAATTAATGTTTATTGTGTTAAAGAATTATAAGTGCTTAAGCTGTGAAGAAATTAAAAGACAGGAGTGAAGCTGTGGCCAGATAGGCATGGTGTCAGCAAACTAAGATTCAATGACTTGCTCAAATTCACATAACTGAAATATTGAGTCAGTCAGACTTAGTGATTTTTGAAGTTAATATTTAGTATTTGAAGTTAAAATCACACTAATCACAATTTTCCCATGTAAAATTAGAGTTTATTTTGCCTAAATAAAAATTATTAAGATATAATTGTCCTGACCAGTTTTGAAATCTCTCATTTGGCAAATGTTTTGTGAAGGCCACAATAAGTATTTCCTTTCAAATACTGACTTTATTTTCAAATATGAAAATTTTTGTTAAATAATACAGCAATAGTAGTACTTAGGATAGGCATTAACAGTATTCTTCAGAATGTTATATAGAATTAAATTATGCATAGTACAGCATTTATTAAAGTATCAAAAGCACTTAGAAATAAAGCATTTTTTTGTAAGCATGAAGTAATTTTAAAAATGAAGTAATTGAAAGATCTGAAAGAGGAGATGATTTTGAATCTTGGCTTTGCCACTAACTTATTCTGAGACCTTAAACTCTTCCTTCCACTCAGCAAGTATTTTTTTGAATACTTACTATATGGCAGGCACTGTGCTATTTGTTCTGGATATACAATGGAGAATAGATCCTTACTTCCTGAAGCATTTAATCTAATGGAGGACACAGATGTTAACTAAATAAACACACAAGAAAATTTAAAATTCAAATGGTCTTAAATGCTAAGAAGAAAAAGAACAAGGAACTATAAGAAAACAGAGTAACCAGTGAGACATAGTTTATGTATGAGCCAGGTTAAAAAAAAAAAAAAAAAAAGAATAGGAGTTATTCTAGCAAATGGAGTGGAGGAGTTTTCCAAGTGAAGGGAACAGCATTTACAAAGGTCCTAAAATGGACCTTTAATAAGGACCTAAAAAGAAGGCCAGTTTGGCTGCAATGTTAGTAAACAAGAGGGAAAAACGCAGGGGGACCAGATCAGGCAGTTCCTGATAGACCGAATCAAATGAGTTTAGTTTTTAATTTTAAATACAATGGGAAGCCAGTACAGTTCCTGATAGACCGAATCAAATGAGTTTAGTTTTTAATTTTAAATACAATGGGAAGCCAGTAAAGGCTTTTAAGCAGAGTGTGATGTGATGGAATGATGGGATTTACCTTTTAAACGGTTATATGCTCTGGCTCTTATTTGGAGAAGGGATTGGAGGGTGCAGAACAGAAGCAACTAAACTATTGCAGAGGTCCAGACAAGATGATTATGGCTTGGACTAAAGTGGATGGAGAAAAGTGTACTTACTGATTGAGAAACATTCTAGCAGTAACATTGACAAACTTGGCTAGTGGTTTGGATGTGGGGGTTGATGGGAGAGCAGTGTTAGGAATGCTGCTGAAATTTCTCACCCAAGCAGCTGAGTGTATGGAAATGTATGTCAATTATGAAACAGGGAGGAAATACAGAGCAGGATTTACACATGGTTGTTTTGTGTGTTTTTAATCCTCACCTGTGGGTATTTTTTCACTGCTTTTCAGAGAGAGTGGAAGGAAGAGAGAGAGAGAGAGAAACATCGATGTGAGCGAAACATGGATTGGTTGCTTCCCACATGCACCCCTGACTGGGCTGGGGATCAAGCCTGCAACTGAGATATGTGCCCTTGGCCGGAATCTAACCCGGGACCCTTCAGTCCCCAGCCCGACACTTGAACCACTGAGCCAAACTGGCCAGGGCTAGACATGGTTGTTTTAAACATGTTATCATATGTATGTGAAATGGCCAACTAAATATGTCTAGTGAGCAAATGAGTCTGTAGTTTAGAAGAAAGGTCAATAGAGTATGTAATGCCATGGGAATGGGAAAAAATCACCTAAGAGCCCAAGCCTAGAGGACTCCAACTTTAGAAGTCAGGCAGAAGGCAAACAGGTATCCCAGAATCCAAGAAAAGAGAGCATTTCAAAGTGGCAATAAATAAGTTGAAGCTGCAAGAGGTCCAATAAGATCAGAACTAAAAATATCCTTGAGGTTTAGTAACAGAGTTATTGATTACTTTAACAACTGCACTTTTATTGGAAGTGAAAAAGATTAAAAACTGAATGTGCCCAGCCGGGCGTAGCTCAGTGGTTGAGCGTTGAGCTGGGATCCAGGCGATCAGGGTTCAGTTCCCGACCAGGGCACATGCCCGGGTTGTAGGCTCGATCAATTACTCTCTCATCATTGATGTTTCTATCTCTCTCTCTCCCTCTCCTTTCCTCTCTCTCAAATCAATAAAAATATATTTTAAAAAACAAAAACAAAAACTGAATGCAAACAGACCTCCAGGTAAAGATGGCAAATGAACTCATGCATCTAATTGTACCCTCTCCTGCAGCCTCTCTTAAACTACAGTAAAGGGATATTCACACAAATGTGGAAAACTGGAGAGGAGACAATAGCAAACCAAATTTGGGAAACTAGATAGGAAACTGATAAAGGAGGTAACTGACTTAATAGACCCAAGAAAGCCATCTCCTAAGCAAGCAGTAGGTAAAGCCAAGAACCAGCCTAATGTATCAGAAACACCTAGAGAACTTGCTCAAACACAAATTGCTGGGCCAGAGTTTCTAATTAAGTAGTTCTGGGATCAGGCCTGTGAATTTGCAATTCTAACAAATTCCCAGGAGCTGCTGATACTACTGCTAGTCTGGGAACCACTGTTGAAAACCACTGTACTAGAGAATCCTAAGTAGGCCCAGAATTGGTTGCACCAGATACGCCTAGAAGTGTGGCTGAAAAGGAAGGCTAAAATAAGAAAATCTAGTTAAAACCTGAATAAAACCTTATTCACAGAGATAAGATCATGTATCATTGAAACAAGAACAGGATGCTTTATAAAATAAATTCGGGATAAAAAAATAAAAAATCTTTTAAACAATAAAAACATTTTGTAAAAAATTTTAACTCCACAGAAAAGTTAGAAGATAAGCTAAGGTAATCTCTGACAGAGTAGAGCAAAAAAGTAGAAATAGATAATAGGAGAAAAAAGGCAAGAAAATTAGTATATTAGTCCAAACTCCAAGTAATAGGAGTTTGAAGAACAGAGAATGCAGAAGGAAAGAAATCAGCAACATACAGTAGTCCACCCTTATCCACGATTTAGCTTTCCATGGTTTCAGTTACCTGTGGTCAACCATAGTCCAAAAATATTAAATGGAAAATTCTAGAAATAAACAATTCATAAGTTTTCAATTATGCACTGTTCTGAGTAGCACGATGAAATCTCATGCTACTGTCTGTCCTGCTGCATCTACCCAAGACGTGAATCATCCCTTTGTCCAGTGTATCCACTACCCATCCCGATAGTCAGTAGCCTTCTTGATTGTGATATCACAGTGCTTATGTTATCCTTACTTTACTTAATAATGGCCCCAAAATGCAAGAGTTGTGAGGCTGACAATTCAGATATGCCATAGAGAAGCCATAAACTTTATCATAGGTATGTATGTATAGGAACAAAGTATATAGAGGGTTCAGTACTATCCACAGTTTCCAGCATCCCCTGGGGTTCTTGGGATATATCCCCTTCAGACAAGGGGTATTGCCATAGTTCAAGAAATGTCCCCAGAACTGAAGGGTATACATTTCCAGATTAAAAGAGTCAACAAAAGCCCAGCACATTGGGTACATCTTTGTGAAATTTCAGAACACGGGGAACACATTGTTATCTATTGCCTCTGAATGTTTTTGCACAGGGCAGAGCTCCAAGTTAAGTCAAATAAAAACAGCCTGGCAAATATGGTCTTCCAGGGAGCCATGAGACAGGTCAAATAAAAAGAGTGCTTGGGGTATGGGGATTGTAAGGAGCTCCAGCTTCTATCCTTTGCAGTGGCTGCCATGCTGAGGTTTTCACTGTGATTGCTGCTTATTGGTTTTCAAGGTTACCAAAAAGCTGGAGAGGGGCAGATGGGTATAAGGCAAATTAAAATACCACGGAGCTCACTATTCTTACCAAGATTCAGCTATTTCCCTTGAATAAATGCTACCTGTAACAGCCTTTGGTTAATTTCCAGAGTTCCAAATAAGCTGACTTGAATAATTTTTGCCCATATTCTTATTGTTTTTATGGAGATGATTTTCAAAGGTCCTTACTCTGCTATTTTTGCTGATGATCACCAACATGTGGCTCTAAATTTAGGTTAAATAAAATTAAAGAAAATAAATTCAGGCCTGGCTGGGCATGGCTCAGCTGTTGAGCATCGAACTAGGATCCAGTTGATCAGAGTTTGATTCCCAGTCAGGGCACATGCCTGGGTTGCGGGCTCGATCCCCAGTCGGAGGCGTGCAGGAGGTAGCCGATCAATAACTCTCTCATCATTGATATTTCTATCTCTCTCTCTCCCTCTCCTTTCCTCTCTCTGAAATCAATAAAGATATATTTAAAAAATAAGAAGAAGAAAATAAATTCAGTTCCCCAGTTGCTCTAGCCATATTTTAAATGCTGAAAAGCCACAGATGACTAGTGGCTACTCTTTTGGACAGTACAGATAGAACATTTCCATCATCTCAGAAAGTTCTATTGGACAATGTGGCATTAAGATATCATCCTCATTTTATAGATAAGTAAACTGAGGCTCAAAAATGTGAAGTAACTTACTCAGAGTTTCTGAGATTCCAAAGCCCCATGTTATTAACTACCAAGCTGTATTTTCTCTCAGTGATTTCCAGATTTTTCATGCCAGGGAATACATTTTTTCAAAATGATATTTGTGTAGAGCACACTGGAGTAAATGAACTTGACTACAAGATCACCAGCCCCAGTCCTGCTGTTCTTGGCTCTGCACACCCATCCTAGGAATCGGGGGATCAGCAGCTCAGCACACTAGTATGTCAGGACACCCTGATCATGAAGGTCCACTATGCATTATAACAGTGACTCTCAAAGTATGGTTCCAAGACCAGAAGCATCAGAATCTCCCAGGAACATGTTAGAAATGTAAATTCTCAGGCCCCATCCAGACCTACTTAGAGATTCTGAGAGTGGGATCAAGCAATCTGCAGTTTAACAAAACTTCCAAATGATTCTTATACACATAAAGTTTGAATACTCTGTATTATATTATAAAAAGCTTATTCAATGAGTGGTGCTAGGAAAATTATATAATCATAATGGAGCAACATGTATGTACACACACACATATGAAACTGTGTGTGTGTGTGTGCACGCAATTATATAAAATGTCTGGAAAATCAATATAAAATTTTAAATGTATTAACTACCTAAATACCACCTTTTATCCCTCTGTTAGGAGACATTGCTGTGTACACTCAAATGAATCAGTTATTTTTATCTTCTGTTTTGAACTACTTTACATTTTATTAGTTTCTTCAGTTTAATTTTATGTTCAAACCCTCCCAAACAAGTGAATGCCTACCTTTTCTTGAGTTTTATGATATTAGGTATTGTGGTTATTAATTTCACTAATAGTAGAATTGGTTGGTTGAGTAAAAGCTGCAGTGCTAAAACACAAAATTTCTCTTTATGTGTTAACCCCCAGTTTAGTGGTTCTTAACTTTTTCAAGATCATTGACTCCTCAGAGAATCTGTTCATAGAAGTAGACATTCTCACTAGAAAAATATATGCATATTTAATGTTTTGCATAATATTTCAGGTACCTTGATTTGATTGTAATAGGATGAAGATTCAGTTAGAAGTTCATGGTTTGTAGGATGTTATGTATTTTTTGCTTTATTACTTCCATTTGTTATTTTAATTAACTTCTTCCTTCCCTCTTATCCTTACTTCCAGGTGGATACATTGCAAATAGCCTGGCAATCATGACCGATGCGCTTCATATGTTAACTGACCTGAGTGCTATCATACTGACCCTGCTAGCTTTGTGGCTGTCTTCAAAGTCACCCACCAAAAAATTCACCTTTGGATTTCATCGCTTGGGTAGGTAATTGGGAATTTTTTCTAGTTTATAAAATTTTATGGTTAAAACAACAATGAACTATAACCTTTGATTAACTGAAATCTTTCTGGTGATAAGCCTGTTGAAACAGATGAACAAAGCAAATGAAAATAGGTGATTTATTCAGATACATATCTTCTCATATACTGAAGTTCAGCCCAGTCAGCTAAACAATGATTATATGGTAATCATTAATTTTTAAATGTTTTCCCTATGTCCTGAAGATGTTAACAGAAAAAAGCTTAACTTCAGTTTATTAAATCAAGCAAAACCACATGAGTTTAATTCATTAATAAGGATTAGCTTTTTTCTTTCACTTCAGGTTATTTCAACCGAGGCTACTGTAGCTCAGATTTTAAGCATTACTGTAATACATATAACATATACTGTGTGGCTGACCTTCATTAAGGCCATTATATCAACATAATTCTGTAAATGCTGACAAAGAGTCAGTCTCCCTGAACCTTCTCCCAAGCCCATCTGTGCATCTCCTTGTAAAACCTAGTTTTAGCAAGAACATTGCCTAAGCCAATTTAACAGAACCTCCTACTCTCAATATCCAGTGGGTTATCCTTCAGGTGATGTCTCATCACCCTGGCCTGTCTTCAGCAAGAATTCTGTTAGGTCAGCTTAACCAGAATCCCCTTTACTCCTAATGTTTCCTGTTAGTAATTTTCCATCCACAGACTCCCACCCTGCTTCTTGGCTATAAATTCCCACTTGTCCGTGCAGTATTCAGAGTTGAGCCCAGACTCTCTCCTCCACTGCAAAATTCCATTGCAGTGGTCCCTATACCTATCTCAATAGCTTCCCCCCTTGAATAAAGTCTTCTTTACCATGTTTTAACAAGTGTCATTGATTTTTTCTTTTCAACAATGAACACATTTTATTTTCCTATTTTTAACAAATATTAATATTTAATTAAGAGAGGTTAAAGTCATATGTAATCATATACAACTATGCTTCTTGCTGTGTTACTGTTTTTATTTTTTTTGCTTATTTTTAAAATACATATAAAATAATTGTCTTAACTATTATATGAAGTGCCATATGACCCATGTCATTTCCTCAGAACCCAAAAGTTGACATTTAGGTGAATGCAAAACCTGTCTTAAAGAACCAGAATTATCATATTGTCCTTTTATTTTGTGGAGACACTGTCACTCTTGGCTAATACATTGATCAGTTCCTCCCCTTCTTTGTTAATTTTTGGCCTAATATTAACAGTATCTAGCTATCCAAGCCATCAGGTTGGGAAATTATCTGACATCTGCACTCAGCACTCTCAACTGCTGTAGAAGAGAGCTAAAGCCCTGAGTGAGGTTTTTCTGTTATTTTTTAAACCACTATATAATGCATTTAGATGTGTTCCTAAAAGAAACCCCACTACCTTCCAACATATTATACTATACATTCATTTGTTAATTGGGTTGGGGTTTTTTAACAACTTTAAAATTACTTTCAAACTTCTGGCCTGGTGGCTTGGTTGATTGGAGCATCTATCTGTGCACCACAAAAGGTTGTGGGTTCAGTTCCCAGTAGGGGCACATACCTAGATTGCAAGTTTGATCCCTGGTTGGGCACACACGTACGGGAGACAGCCAATCTGTTTCTCTCTCACATCTACGTTTCTCTCTCTGTCTCCCGTCCCCTCTCTCTTAAAAAATTATTTTCAAACTTTACTGTGATTTAAACACCTGCAATTTAATTTAGATCTAAAACATAGCATCCTGGAATGGGGATTTTTACCCTCTAGCACTATTTGAGAGAGTACATTTCATGTAGTTCTGTGGTTCTTAACCTCTTTTAGGATATAGGCCCCTTGGAACTCTAATGAAGTCAGCAGCACTCTACCCCAGAAACATGCAGTGACAGAACATAGAAAGTCCTACATATAAGTTAAAAAGCAATAATCATGAAAATTCTATTAAATATCAAAGAAGTACTTAGTATTTCTCTAGATAGTCACTTTGTTTCTTCATAGATGATAAGCATTCTGAAAAGATGAGAGAAAATAGAATTGACTGGTCCTATTGTGTCTCTGAAAATTCCTACAGAAAGTCAAGATCTTTCCCTTTCCTTGAAAGTACTAAGTTTAACATGGTGGATTAGATATTAGCATTTGACTACTGTCTCGCCTCAGAGTCCATTGAAATAAAAAGTACCAAAACAGCAGAGAGAAGCCAATGTTGGGTCACTAATAAACAAGAAATTTCAAGAAAACTTTGGAAGTTAGAAGGTACATGGGAGTGGGTTGAAGGAAAAAAGTCAAGAAGCTATTAATCGAATTGTTGCATATGCAGGCTGAGTAAATACAATGTGAAAATGGTGAAACAGTTAATTTAGTATAGCTTGTGATCCTCAAACCACTTGTGTCTGGGGTAAGTTAAACCAATTTCCAAACTGGGAATAGGGGTATTTTTGAAATTTGGAGATTAAAATATTTGGGACTTGAAAACATTTATCTGTAATTCTGAAACTATGGTCATGTTCACAGACTAGGCTATACAAATTTATTTGATCCATAACATAGCTGGGTGGTACAGCCTGACTTATAGATCCTTTTGACAAATTAACAAATTAGTCAGAAAGGAGTTTATTCTTCATCTCAGGGGCCTGTCCTATTTGTTTGTTTGGGTAGTTACCACTTTTAGAGTTTTGTGTTTTAATTGTCTTTTGTTCAGATCTGAGATCTGCAATTTTAGTAGCTATATCACCTTTTGGTGAATGATTTAACTTCTCTATGAGTTTCTTCTGGAAAACTAGGATGATAATACTTATATTGCAGAATTGAAGAAAACATAAGGCAAGGTGGTAAGGTATAAGTACCTAACAGGGTACCTGGCACAGGGTAAATTTCCAATAAATGTTAGTTTCAGTTATCTTTTCCTTCCCTCTTCTACCTGCCAGTGTAGCATACTACCCAGATTTTTTATATCTCTCAACCCATGCTCCTAGATTGCCTGCCTTCCCTTCTCCCCGTAATCAGACTTCTTATTCCCTCAGCATAACTGTCTCAGCTAGGTAGGAAAAAAGATGATTCAAGCTGATGATTAATGTCTTTAAAAATATATATGTGTGTGTGTGTGTGTGTGTGTGTGTGTGTTTATTGATTTCAGAGAGAGGAAGGGGGAGAGAGAGAGAGAGAAAGAAACATCAATGATGAGACAGTCATTGACCGGTTGCCTCCTGCATGCCCCCAACCAAGGATTGAGTCCACAGCCCGGGCATGTGCCCTGACTGGGAATCGAACTGCGATCTCCCGGATCATAGGTCGTGATGCTCAACCACTGAGCCACGCCAGCCGGACCAACCTGATGATTAAATAACTATTTTAAAAGATTTGCTTTTTGGTAACATTTTTGGCAATATGACAAAATTTATTTTAGCGAAAATCATTCAGTCAAGATGAGAAAAATGTAGTTTGGGATTTGAAGGGTAAGCCCAAGGGGCTATTCCAGGAATTAGTACCAGTCTCTTGGTACTTTCCCTTCCTTCATGTGAACTCAAAGACTGTGTAAACTCATTCAGGTGTTTCTTTTTCTTTTCCTTTCTCTTCTCTTTCTCCATTCCTTTCAGTGAGCTACAGTGGCTGCTCTTTTGTGGGAAGAGGGAGAGTGGGGTAGAAACCATATGTGAGTTATTTTTAAATGCCTGGGTTTATTTGACTGTGGGTATTCCATCTTGTTCTGGAAGTTACTAAAACTTAGAACTTAATGAAGCCACGCTGTGAAAGAAATTCCACAAATCCTTAGGAGGAATGGCACTCTCTCTCAGACCAAGGGGATATGCTATTCTAAAGAGAACATTCTCCTTGCCTGGCTCAGCGATTGAGCATCGACCTAGGGTCCAGGAGATCCCAGTTCAATTCTTGGTCAGGGCACACGCCTGGGTTGTGGGCTCGATCCCCAGTTGGGGCGTGCAGGAGGAAGCTGATCAGTGATGACCCTCTCATCATTGATGTTTCTATCTCTCTCTCTCCCCCTTCCTCTCTCTGAAATCAATAAAGATATACGTTAAACAATTAAAAAACGGAACATCCCCTTGCTTGCTTTTATCCTTGTCTGTGGATTATGAGTAGAATTGACTTCATTCATATGGTTTTTCTTTCAGTTCTTGGGCTGGAGAGGCTGGGTGAATTACATAAAGATAGTGATCATGTGAAAGGACTGTAGTAAGCAGAGTTGTTGGTATTTGAAATAAAAAGCGAGATACTCACTTTGGTAATGCAGGTCATCAGCCTAGGTTAGTGGCAAAATGACAGTGCAGGAGTCTTTTGTATCAGTGTGTAGTGCTACTGAGCAAAGATGCTGGCTAACCTGGCTGAATGATTGTTGTCCTGGGGTAGGTATATGTTTATAATGCTAATTCTGCGTAGTTTGTTATTTTATTCCCTGATGCTAAAGGAGCAGAAAGTATCCAGCTAAAAAATATCTTCCCCCATACATGCAGCCAAAGAAATCTCTTCTTTCTAGTTAGTGATTAATTTTAACAACTTCCTCTCTCCCCCGACATGAGTTATGCCTACTCATTATTTATATCTCAGTGAGAATTAATTCATATCGTATGAACATCTATAGGAAAAGAATTGGTACTTCCTAGAATTCAGTTTTTATTGAGGCAGAAGAAGACATGAGTGAGGTAGCCAGTGTTGGATAGCCAAAAGTCAACTTGGAGTATTGGGGGAAACCCGGGGTATGGATAGAGGGAGTGGTGAGAAGGCAGAAAATAAGAGATTACTTAGAATGGAAGGTAAGAGGATCCAAAGACAAACTTTGTAGTTTAGCTTGACATTCTGGTGGCACAAGTGGGCCACTGAAAATCCTATATGTTGCCTTTAGCCTGAGTGCCGTTGGCTTGTCTGTGGCTGAATTGAAATACAAGTATTAGTTTGGAAGTCCTAGGCAAATCCAGTACAGCTCACTGATATTTCTTCTATTTCCTTTCTACTTTCTATTGGGAGAAGGTAGGAAAGAGAAAT